TTAATATGAATCATAGGCTTCATATCCACAAATCTAGCTCCATCTATTGAATTATACACAACATATTTTCGATGAAGCCCCTCCTTCCTCCAGCAATACACTGTGATTGGTTAGCTGGCCCAGTGTGTTGTGATTGGAAGCACCTAGCGTGTGTTCGAGAAAAATCTATACATTTCTTGAAAAAGAATAGCTACATTTCTTAAAATTAATCAATACATTTCTCGAAAAGAATCGCTACATTTCTTCAAATTAATCAATACATTTCTCGAAAAGAATCTATATATTTCTTCAAATGAATTGATACATTTCTCGAAAAGAAACGCTACATTTCTTGAAAAGAATCGCTACATTTCTCAAAAAGAATCGCTACTTTCCTTAAAAAGAAAAAATGATTACATTATAATAAACGTATAGTTACACTGTAAAGAATTTGTAATTACATTGTAACAAATGTATAATTACACTGTAACTAATGAATAATTACACTGTAACAAATGTATAATTACAATCTCGAAAAGAATCGCTTCTTTAAAAAGAATCGCTACTTTTGCTTAAAAAGAATCGCTACTTTTCCTTAAAAAGAATCACTACTTTTTCAAAAATAATCTATACTTTCCTTAAAAAGAATTGCTACTTTCCTTAAAAAGAATCACTACTTTTCCTTTGAAAGAATCGCTACATTTCTTAAAAAGAATCACTACTTTCCTTAAAAAGAATCGCTACTTTCATTAAAAAGACTCACTACTTTTCCTTTGAAAGAATCGCTACCTTTCTTAAAAAGAATCACTACTTTCCTTAAAAAGAATCGCTACTTTCATTAAAAAGACTCACTACTTTTCCTTTGAAAGAATCGCTACCTTTCTTAAAAGAATCACTACTTTCCTTAAAAAGAATCACTACTTTCCTTAAAAAGACTAGCTACTTTAAAAAAAAAAGAATCGCTACTTTTCCTTAAAAAGAATCAATACTTTTTCAAAAAGAATCGATACTTTCCTTAAAAAGTATCGTTACTTTTTCAAAAAGAATCGCTACTTTCCTTAAAAAGAATCGCTACTTTTTCAAAAAGAATCGATACTTTCCTTAAAAAGAATCGATACTTTTTCAAAAAGAATCAATACTTTCCTTAAAAAGAATCGATACTTTTCCTGTGAAAGAATCGATACTTTTCTTAAAAAGAATCGCTACTTATAAAGAATCGCTACTTTCCTTAAAAAGAATCGCTACTTTCCGTAAAAAGACTCGCTACTTTTCTTTACTTTCCTTAAAAAAATGTTTTAATACTTTTTCAAAAAGAATCACTACTTTTTCAAAAAAGAATCGCTACTTTTCCTTCAAAAGATTCGATACTTTCCTGTGAAAGAATCGATACTTTCCTTAAAAAGAATCGCTACTTTCTGTAAAAAGACTAGCTACTTTTCTTTACTTAAAGGTTGGGTAGGTCGTTTTTGGTCTAAAAAACTTTTTCCCAAATTTGTTTAAACTTTCTATATATATCAATGCATAATTAAAATGTAAGTACTCTGATAAAAAGAGTATAAAAATCGAGTGACTCTAGACCGTTTAATCTGCACTAAACACAGCTCATTATTTCCTTCCGGGACGAAACAAAGGATTGGCTTAGGCGACTGTCACTCTCTCGCAACCATGGCAACACCCCCGCTGCTACATGCGCTGCCCACATGCGCGCACTCGTTTGACTCGAGGAGGGTAAGAGACTAGTAAGAGACACAATTACATGCAAAACACGGCGTATATGTTATGAATCTTACACAAAATTCACCTTCATCACAGTGTAACTGATTGTAATGGGAAAACGTGTATCAATGCAACCTGTTTTTAGCTTTGCTTTATGTTACTAGCTCGTTAACGAATCAAACTCAATATATTTTAAACTTTAACAGTATCGATATGCTAGCTTGATAGTGAGTATTAACAGCCATGTTAGTTGTTTATATTCATAATGATAAAGTTAGGTATTTTATTACATGTGAGTCTGACATGATGTCACTACATGCACTGCTCCTCTCCGCTCGGCGCTAGTAAGCGCGTCCTCCAGCTGTGAGCTGTCGGCATCGCACGTTCATGTGTTTTGGGGGCGTGGTTTTGGAAGGAGCCCAGAATGGAGGGGGTGGAAGTGAATGGAGATAAGTAGCTGTGTTTATTACAGCCCTGAGAGGACTACAGACACTCGATTTTTATACTCTCTTTTCCAGAGTACTTACATTTTAATTATGCATTGATATATATAGAAAGTTTAAACAAATTTGGCAAAAAGTTTTTAAAAAAAATTCTACCTACAATACCTTTAAAAAAATGTGTTAATACTTTTTCAAAAAGAATCACTACTTTTTCAAAAAAGAATCGCTACTTTTCCTTCAAAAGAATCGATACTTTCCTTCAAAAGAAAAAATAATTACATTGTAATAAACGTATAATTACACTGAAAAAATTTATTTGTAATTACATTGTAACAAATGTACAATTACACTAACTAATGTATATTTACACTGTAACAAATGTATAATTACACTGTAAAATATGTATAATTACACTGTAACAATGTATAATTATAATCTCGAAAAGAATCGCTACATTTCTCAAAAAGAAACGCTTCATTTTTCGTAAAGAATCGATAATTTATTCAAAAAGACTCGCTACATGTCCTTAACAAGAATCAATACTTTCCTTAAAAAGAATCGATAATTTCTTTAAAAAGAATCGCTACTTTTCCTTAAAAAGGAACGCTACTTTTTCAAAAAGAATCGCTACTTTTCCAAAACAGACTCGCTACTTTTCCTTAAAAATAATCTATACTTTTCCTTAAAAAGAATTGCAACATTTTCTAAAAGAATCAATTAATTTATTCAAAACGAACAGCTACATCCATCCGAAATGAATCGATACCTTTATTCAAATAGATACATTTCTTAAAAAGAATTGCTACAGTTTCAAAAAGAATCGCTACTCTCCTTAAAAGAATCACTACTTTTCTCAAAAAGAATTGATACGTTTATTAAAAAAGCATCACTACATATATACATGTATATACTGTACACTGAATAAATAATAAATGATAAATGTGTTCAGCATTCCTCAACAAATATTTTTAGAATTTTCTAGACTATTTGAAGTTGTAAGGTGAGCAGGATATATTAAAATGTAGCGCATGGATTCAGCAGGCATGTATTCATGATACTAAGTGGGGCAGCTGGTCTCGGAGCCTTTCCCAGCTCTACTGCGCCCCACAAATTTCCAATGTAAATCTATTTTTTACAGTCTATGATGTAAATCTGTGGTGAAAAATGGAACTGCAGCCAAAGTGGAGCCAACTGGCCGACGAGCCAAGGTGGAGTGACGGGCTCGCCGGCTGGAGGCGGTGCCAGGGGATCTTCTTGACAAGGCAGGGCTGGAAATCGGAAGACCGGAGGCAGATCCACTGTGACGATGTCATAAGTTACCCCTAATTGCTGTGTATGCCCTGTGTTTTGTTTGGTTTATATTATTTGCATAAATGTTTGTTTGTTTCTCATTGTTTGTTTAAATATGATTTTGGTCACTTTTTCTAGTCTAAGGTGCACATTAGATGGATGGTATAAAAAGACACCAAGAATATTCTTTGTTTATTTTCTTTATTTAGAATTTATATCAACAATATCAGAATTATATCCACATTTTCAAAATTGACCTTTTTGTCTCTGGGTTCATGGCTGCAGCATGATTCCGGGGGTGGGGGTTAAAGAGGAAGTGCTGCTTTAATGTTCCTCATTTAATGCCATCCCAACCAATTCTGGGTAGTGTAGGCATAGTCTATTTCCCAGTGTGAATAGGGGGGTTATTGTGCTGCTGTTGCCCATCTTCAAGTTTCGACGTGTTGTGTGTTCAGAGATGCTCTTCTGCAAACCGTGGTTGTAACGAGTGGCTATTTGAGTTACTGCTGCCTTCCAATCAGCTCGAACCACCAAATGCAACACGGCATTTTTGCCCACAGAACTGCCGCTCACTGAATTTCTGACAATTCTCTGTATCAGCAGTTTCTGGAATACTCAGACCAGCCCATGTGGCACAACCATGCCTCATTCAAAGTCACTTAAATCCACTTTCTTCCCCATTGCTTGCTCAGTTTGAACTTCAGCAGATAGTCATATATATCCCTTTGCATTGTAACTTCACAGATGTTGTTTATGCTCAAACAGATAATCAAGGACCCCTTTAAAACATTCTAGCAATTATCTCTTTTGCTCTATTTGAAAGAAAAAAAGAGCAGATATGTTTTACTCAATCTCTCAAGAATCAGTGAATGGGTATTTTGCAACACACCATGTGAATATGTAAACCATGCACATGGATAGATAGGCATCAGAAAAGAATCAGGCGGTGCATACAGAGGAACACAAGTTTAATCAAAGATATGCTTCAGGACACTCATCCTCGAATGCATACAGATCAGATCACACTAGCAGAACCGATACAAAAACACTTCATGCCTTTATGGTCAGAAAATCCCTGGAGGTTCCACTTTAAATGTGAAGACAATTTTTTAGATCAATAACCCTATTGCTCGTGGTCTTTTTACCAAAAGCCGTACTTTGAATACCATGCCCAAATGTTACATTTCACCATACAAAGGCCTGAAGTCAGCATTAAAAAAGTGAAAAACAAAAATACATGGAAAGAATAAACACAGGAACTATTGTAACCAATCGACTGTACGTGACATTAATGTAGTCTTTGGACAGCTTTAGCATGACGTTCTCCATGAACACTGAATCATCACAGCTCTTAACACTCGAACACACTGCACCCTCTTTATTCATCATGTGAAAACAGTGTAACAGCATCTGTCTCTGTATATATGGATGTTTGATCACAGCTGGACAGCAGTGACCTGCATTACACAGGCATCTTTGACATACAATCATGAACGCAAAACATTTCACTCACCAATACAGTCAGTATGGATTCAGAGTGGCTTGATCAGATATTTTTGAAGCAAAAAAATTCTCAGCAACTTCACTGTAATAATCTTCAATGCACTGAACAGTCCAATAAATAACAGTAAATGTTAATCAGCAATGCTGCTTTTGATAGTTAGTCTCATCAGCTATACAAACACTTCATTATTATTAGAAAGGACAATGAGAGATGCTTGTTATTTTCTGTTATAGAGAACAAAGTATAAGTGTGACAAGTACAAGTTTAAATCAATATACATTAAGTTTTAAGTTCTGACACGGCTGTCTGTAACTACATGCATAAAATAACAAAGAAATGACCAAACTGAAAGGCAAGAATATTTTGAACTACTAGCTGTGCCACATTAAAAGTCAACACTGATAAATCTCGCATTGATGATAAAGAGGGAGAAATACAAAAAAAGAACACAATAAATCTGGGGCTCTGTGGAAGCAAAGAAGCGAATGATGGAGAGATGAGATAAATGTTATACGACTTACAGACACATACATGACCCTAATCTACCACAGAGATTAATAAATATTAAATGTTTTAGACAGAATCCATCCGGTTTAGAAAATGCTGCAAAATCTTCTTTCGTAAAGGCCTTCAGATCCATCTTTGCATTGTTAGAAAAGTCCTGCCCGTTCGTTTTATCTCACACTCGCCGATGCACTCCGGTCCTGTGTGCTGATAGGGGAGAAACACGAGTACAGATAGACGCTACTGGTTGATTTACTCAGTGTTGACCTAAATAAGGAAGTTCTCCAAGAGAAAGGCGTGTTTGCTCCATTGTTTATTACCTAAACATGACGTTTGTAGGACGTTTTAATTAGGATACACACATTTATCCTGCACCTCTTTGGATGAAATTTGAAGACAGAGGCTGAAATTAGTCACATTGGGTATAGAGGACAGTGACATCAAGCACAAAATCCAGAGTATACCTTTAAGAGTGCAAAACAGAGGAGCCATGTACACGGCCCATTCTTCCTGGACTCAAACAGCATGACAGACACACTCATAAAGTTTGCATACACATCGAAACACGCACACTCAATATTAAATCTCTTTGTCCCTCTCCCAGTAGTAGACATCCCGTAAATTTCCTTGTTTTGATCTTTCTTTCTTTCCAACTATCTCTTTACATACACACACATATATTCCTGTCCCACAGTCTTGACTCCAGGCTTATCTGGTGTAGTATACTCTGTAGTAGACTGTTTTAGACCTCCAGAGCGAGTAGGAGTTGTCGAACTTGAGCAAGTATATACCACGGCCGGGATACTGGTGACTCCCAGCGTACACCTCCTCATGACAGTCCCGCCGGTACACCGGCACTATCTCATCCACCTGTGGTTTCCCAGCCTCCTTCTTGGCTTTCTCTTCCTCAGACTGCCCTTCACCTGAGAGAAAGCGAGCAGGACTTAAATCTACAATTCATATTTACAGAAAATGGGTAGCACTTTATTTTACAGTCCTGTTCCACATGTTCATACTATGTACTTCTTATAGCAATTACAATAACTGGGTAATAACTAGGTACTAACCCTGAACCAACCCCTAAAACTAACCTTAACCCATGTAGTTACCAGTACTTTCATAGGTTAGTACACGTACTGTAAAATAAAGTGCAACCAGAAAATGTAACAATCACAAAACAAACAATCTAGGCCTTTATATCAAAAGGAGCCTTTTGATTTCCAGAGTTTAAAAATGCACCAATATTACAATTCTGGTCGATACCAATAAGCCGATATTAAAATTCTATACAATTTTGCCAAAAGAAATAAAGAAATAAGATTCTACCAACTAAAATACCTAAATAGCAATATACAGGGGGGTTGGACAAAATAATGTGAACACCCATTATAGGGGTTAATTTGACTGAATTTCTTCACTTGCAAAGAGTTAAAGCTTTGAGATTTTATTTTGTCAGAAAACAGCAGCAGGGAGTCCTCTAAGTTTCTATGATAACAGGTTTACAGACTCTTCTCATTACAAATCTACATGAAAGCGTGAACTGTTGTAATAATCTGTCCACAAACATGTTGGAAATGATTCAAATGTGAAAATGGTGTGAAACTGGAACACGTTGCATAATGAACATTCATTTTGAGATTTGCTAAAGACACATTTAAAAGTTTATTATTGGTGTTTAAATAAATACTTTAGAGCATTAGATGGGTAATTTAGGTAATCTAAATGTAAAAATAAAAGAAATGAGCACAACTAAATATCGGCCGATAACCATTATGCTACAGACATATGCCTCACCTTCTTCATCCTCATCTTCGTCACTAGACTCGCTGACGTGCACGCTGACCGATGCGTTAGTAGAGTCAGTCCATTCAAAGAAGACTCCAAAGCCAATGTCGTAATAGTCGGTGGCAAACTCCCAGAAGAGATAGGAGCCCTCCTCATGGGTGGGGACCCGGACGGTCACCACTTCCCCCCGGCCCACCGTGATCACAGAGTCCACATCCTGACGGATCTTCTCTTTAAAGTCTTTTATCTGTGGCCGGGTCCACATTGAGGGGGCTGCTATTACAGGGGGAGAGTCTGAGAACCAGGAATATGGGTAAATAATGGATGGTTTTATTTGTATTTGAAATTAGGGCTGGGTATTGACACAGATGATGTGTCAGTGTGTCAACTTCATGATTTGATTTCAATTCACAAGCTTGGGATTCGAATCATTTTCGATCTTGATTCAATTTAATATTGATTCATTTGGATATATCAGGTACAGTAAAGATAAACAATAAAATGAATTTATTGTTAAAATTTCATAATAAAATTTTTAATCCAGCCCTATTTTAAATTGAAATGCATCAAATGATGAAACACTACAGCATGAAAAATGAATTTCAGACACAAGTTTGCAAATTCCTCATAATTAGCCACAATTCTTAACAGCATTTGAAACTCATTTGCTTCCATAACCAGACATTCACATGGATATTCAGCATGACAAATATGTTAGGCAAGACTTGATTTTATTCATTGGTAATTGACTGCTTTGTAATTGGTACATATTTTTTTCTAAAATAATACACATTGATGAATGATTCACAATACACATAAAAAAGGTAAATCCAATTTGATTTCAAGTTGACATTAACAGCAATATGAAAATTTTGTCCGATACCGCTAATTCTTTATATTCGAAAGCCGATACATTGGCAGATATATCGAAATCCAAATTTTTATAGAATTTTTGAGAGCCTGATTACAAAAACAAAAGTCCATGTCCCAAGCACACAATTATAATGATGTTCTCATTATAATTTTATGTAGCCTATACGCACGTTGCATTTAACTGTATTTTTCTTTTTAAAGTGATTCCAATCATATTTAAAGCAATTCAAAACCATCATGGTGAACAAGCTGAAGGAAATAATCCATTATTTATCTGCTTTAATATATCGGCCAAATAATGAACATTTAAAACGAACATATATCAGCCGATACCGATATGGTGGCCGATATATCGTGGATCTCAAACAAAGTTGTAGAAATAAACAAAACTGATCAAACGACTCACCGGTGGGTCCATTCTCAGTGACCTCGTCTGCAGGCTCCAGGTCTGGCTCTCGCTCTAAGCTGTCAGCAGTGGACTCTGCCTGTCCGTTCAGTGTGGGAACCTCCTCTCCAGCAAAAGGCACTGACACCTCACTGGCCTCTAATGTAGACAGCACTATAGCATCCTCCTGTTGTTTCTGCAAGGCAGCCTGAAGAAAACAGTGCAATATGACATTGGTACGAGACAACAGAAACCAAAATAAATTGTATCAGTGAGTCAAAGTCTATCACATGACAATAAAACCCATTAAGCTTGCAGTGACAGGTGTGCAAAACACATTAAACAGTATACCTTGATTAACTACACCTGCAAAACAAATGCTACCACTGCAATTTTGTTCTTTATACCAGTCGTTCTTAACTGGTGGATTGCAGGTCTGTTCTGAATGTGAATAAAATGCAACTAATTACATAGTAGTGCACAGCTAAATAAACAGGCTTATCGTCTTTTAAAACTTTTCATATTGAATGAAAATCAGCGCATACACACTACCACTCAAAAGTTTGGGATCAATAAGAAGTCTCTTATGCTCACCAAGGCTGCATTCATTTGATAAAAAAAATAAAAACATACAGTAAAATCAGTAATACTGTGAAATAGTATTACAATTTAAAACAACTGTTTTCTATTTGAATATTATTTTAAAATGTACTTATTTTAAATGTGTTTCCTGTGGCAAAACTGATTTTCAGCAGCCATTACTTTAGCCTTGAGTCACATGATCCTTCAGAAATCATTCTAATATGCTGATTTGGTGTTTAAAGTCCCTGTAAAGGCAATTCTAAAACAAAATTCTAAACCCATTATAAATGTTAGAAATGTATTGCTAAAACATATTACAAAGACTGTGAACTGTGAAGTACTGAATTGTGGAGTTAGACCGTTAAACAGTTTTTCACCATTGCTATTTTCCGGATTTTTTGGGCGGGGCTAAAACGGGGCTCGATGACGCACTGGAGCCCCTGAGCTCGTGGACACGCCCCTACTTGATGACGCACTGAGGCTGGCCACTTCCCTAACATCAGTTCGCCGCTCAATCGCAAGTTACTGTCTGTCAGTAGGCTACTATTAGTTACTACAGCCTACAGTTTGCTAGCTAGCTATGCCTTCGACACGGAAATGCGTAGGCTACTACCTGGATGCGATCATGTACAAAACAGATCGGTGTCTTTATTTAAAGGTGTCCTAGAATGTTTTTTTTTATTATTTTATAATGTTTCCTGGGTTACCCTTATAATGTTAGTATGTTTTTTAGATAAAAAATAATCATAATTTAGAAATAAATGGCATTTTTCCTAGCCTGCTTTTAGCCTCTGATTTGAACACTCTGTTTGAAGGGGCGTGTCTGCTGTGGGATTCAGTGTAACCGCGGCCACTGCTGTGATTGGCTGACATGCTTGCATATGAAATAGCAACGCATTACATGTGAAACTCTCTCCCGAATACTTTTACTACTGCTATTATACGTTTTTACTATAACAGCTATCGAGATTAACGAATCGCGAGATGTTTTTAAAGTATTTAGATCTATTCCCATCACATAAAATGTTGCCGTGATGAGCATTGAGCAGATGACAGTGTGTTGATCGCGAGAATGAAGATCTTATCATTGCAAAGCAGTTTCTGCACTCTCTCTGCTTTCACCAATGCAAACATGATGATGTAAATACAGTAAGAGCTTCGTTGTGCAGTAACGTGCGTCATTGATTTCATAACGAGTTTGGCAAGTGTCCAGATAAACTCGCGCTGTGTGGAAAGATTGTTCTTTGATCGCTTTCTGTATATAATTTGTTCACAATTTAAATACGATTATTTTCATCCTACTAAAAGAAACGATGTGAAGCTGATATTTTAGTCACTGGCTTGACTTACTGATACATAAACCGTATTGAACGATTTTGAGAGAAAGATTACCTGTCTGAACTTGAACAATTACACATCAGAAAGTGTTGCTTGGTAGCTCGATCCGAGGCCAGCTCTGTATTGGCCCAAGTTGAGGAAACACTCGGTGAAATGTTTGGAAATTTCCAGAGAAAATAAAATTAACCCATTGTTTCTTCAGAGGCTCAGATGAAGGAACTAAAAAATACTTTTGTGTTCATGTGTACATCCACACTGAGCAACTGCCATGCTTCGGCTGCGCAGTTCCGCCTGGCATTGAGGGCTGGCATTATGCAAATATTTGGAGGCATACATATTAATGATCCCGACTATTGCGTCACAGTCGGTATTGTGTGGAGAACCGACCGTTTTTCAGGGGTGTTTTTCATAAACGTGAATTAAATGAGAACGCGAAAACAGTCCAGTTTGAGATTCACTCTATGTCATGTCCATGCACTGAACTCTTGTTATTTGACTATACCAAGGTAAATTCAATTTTGAATTATAGGTCACCTTTAAATTTCCTAAAAAGAAACTATCACATCAAGAAGAGGTGGATTAATTTTGTTGAAGAGCCAACCTTGATGTAGAGCTGAGGATCACCACCAACACCCGCCTCTGTAGTGATCATTTTACACGGGATAGTTTAATAAACTTTCGTCGGAGACAACTGGGATTCACTGATAATCCGCTGTTACTGGTGAATGGGGCCGAACCGACTATCTCCTGCCTCGGCCTTCATCTCCCCGTCCTGAAAGCAGTATCACCTAATATCAGCGTCGGCTGTTTTCCCACGAGTGGGCGTGGTTTCAGCGCAGCCAGCGGACACGCCCCCAGCGTTTGAGAGCAGAGAATACTGCTCATTTTTTCAAGATTTTGATAGCTTATTTTATGTACTTGCCGGCTTTTTTATCATTCAAATTTGGCTGGGTGGTTAATAACACATTTTTCTGTGGTGTGACAACCTCAGAACACATACTTAATTTTGACTTTACAGGGACTTTAAGAAACATTTCATGTTATTACATGTTTAAAAAGGTGTGCTAATTAATATCTTTGTAGAAAACATGATACATTTATTTCACGATTTGTTGATGAATAGAAAGTTCAAAAGAACACTATTTATTTTAAACAGAAATCTTTTGTTACATTATTTACTGTTACAATTACTTAACATTATTTACTGTTATTTAAATTTAATATAAATATAAAAGTGAAAAACTGAAAAAAAAAAATGTTTTACTGACCCCAAACTTTTGCACGGTAGTGTAGATTTTGAAAATGTAATCAAGGATCACAAAAGCAATGTAGATGTATGTGACTGGGAGAATGAATGCTGGGTCCTCACCTGCTGCTGAGCGAGCTGCACCTGATACAGCTGCTGCATGTACTGCTGATAGTGCTGCTCCTGCAGCTGCCGGATGAGGATGAGCTGCTGTTCGGGACTGTCGGGGTACTGCTGCGCTGCATACTGCTGAAACTGCACCGCTGTCTGCGCATTGAGTGCAGCCATGATCTGCTGCCTAACACACCAGAGAAAGTGAGAAAAAAAAATGCACACAATAAAGTATGTGGAACCTCTGTAGGGTCGCATAGCATACCGGTACTAAAAAAGTACCACTAAAGTTTTTCACCCCCTTAAAAAAAAAAAAAATCATTTTAAATCATGTAAATGTCAGTTGAAATCAAGACCCATTACTTCAGATGGTTGAAAGACTGTGGTGGTGATCCTACCAAGAAAGTGGTGCTAAAGACTTTTTCGCCTTTTCATCTGTCATGAGTTAGCAGATTCTTTTTGAATTATTAAAAGTGTTGACAGTCCTAGTAAATAAATTTTATCGGTCAGACTACTAATCGGACTACACCTACAACTAAATGCCATAGGGATGCCATGCTCCCTCATAGACTACTGGCATTAGGAACGTACAAATTTACCATTAAGAGCACATCAAAATAAATCTGGTTTTGTATAAACGAGATTGGTGACTCAGACGGTGGCCAGATTTTCACTGTTTTTAGTAATGTCCTTCCTAAACAAGATGCCCAAGACCATTTATTTGTTGCCTATGGTATCGATTAGGTATCAAAGAGACATACCAATGGCAAAACAGGGCTTTACTCTAAAGGCTGGAATAAACGACATGACTAAAAACTAGGGGTGTGACGAGACGCTTATCTCACGAGACGAGACGAGACACGAGATTGGGTTCACGAGAACGAGACGAGATTTCTGCACAATTTTTCAGAAATCCTCAATGACAAAATTCATGACTGGAAAAATAGTATCCAGGTGCATTCTGCAATGTTTAACTACTAATCTTATAAAGTAGACCTGAAATGACATGCATTATGAGTATGAATTATCAAATGCATTGAAAGAAAACAATATACAAGCACTGTAAAAGGTTTTTATTGACTGGCTTTTCTCTGTATGATTTCACATTAGTCTCTTCAGCCCTTACTGTACATTTAAGAGCTGATTTCTGATTGAGGCTGTGTGTGACCTCCTAACTGAACTCCTTGAAGTCTTATTAAGCGCAAACAATAAGTGCAAGTGCAACCATAATCAAAGTTAGCACACAGACTCTTTATAATTATTTTCAAATTGCTGTTTTATTTTGCACCGGCAGTTATAGGGTTAATGCGGTGAGTTCGGAAAAGGCCGGGTAGAGAGAAACGAGGCTGGTGTGTTTGTCTCTACAGTTGTTCTTGCGTTCCGATTATAAGTTCAGAAATAGAGCTTCCCTTGTCTGTTGTCCTTAAGACATTACAGTACTCTCTCAATATATTCGAAGTGCAAACTGAGACCATAGTCGCAAATAAACAGTCCAGAGATGGGTATTAGGAGACGGACTATTGTATGTTCGCGGCCTAATTTGTGCGCAATGCACATCAGGGAGCTTGTGTTTTACTTTCACTTTCGTGATCGCGCGTACTCTGTGAATAGGGAGCAGCGGTGCTGAGCGTGCATTCTACAATAAGACATATTGGACGTTAAATCAGACGTTAGTCTATGTTGCGCAACGAATCCTCCGCCATCCTCACGCGATCAGTGAACTGTGATTCTTGCTGCACTGATTGCAACGGCAACTCGTGCTGGATGAGCAGAGCAGACTTTTACATTATTTTATAATGGTTTTTATTTTTTTTTTTAAAACAGCAAAACGATAGTTTAGGCGAATGTGAGTCTAGCGGTGGAATATTCTATGTTAATCTCACCCTCACGCTCAGTCATGGCGATATCGCGAGACAGCTTTTCACTCGACGAGAAATCTCGTCATGTTTTAGTCTCGCGAGATCTCGTGGCACGAGATCTCGTCACACCCCTACTAAAAACACTAGGCATCATACACTTGCCGACTTTGTAAATGGTTACTGAGAACAACTGGGCATCATACACTAAACAACTGAGGATCACACACTACCAGACTTTCAAATCATTCCAAACACAACAAACTCATGCAGAAACACACGCCTCGCTACTAAGAGACGCATGAGAAATGAAAACAATATTCCAAAATCGGCTCAAAATATCAAAACATGTTTGATATTCTCAGACTGAATGGAATCATAGTTGAAGTGGGCTTGCTGCGATAGTCACCGCAACTCCTCCAGACTGCAAATTGGGGGGGGGGGGATCTTGGCAAAAGTGGTGTAGTGTACTGTACATGTAGTTTTCAAACTATGGCGTTTTAGTTCAGTTCTGGAATAATTAAACTGGTGTGACTCACTTCTGCTGCTCTACACGGAGTCGTTCTTCCTCAACTTGTCTTCTTTCCTCTTCTTCTCTCCTCAGCCTCTCCTCTTCTTCACGCCTGCGCCTCTCCTCCTCTTGACGCAGTCGCTCACGCTCTTCGTCCTCTCTGCGCCGCTGCTCCTCTTCCTCCTGCCTTCTCAGCAAAAACAAGACAACATACACACTGTGAGAGACATCCGTGAGGTTACAGAGTGTTCAGGTTTTAAATATGTTGTTTAGGGTGATCAATTCTTGATTGGAGACCAATTACTTTTTGTGGACACGGTGGATCTCTCTGAGAGAAGCCTATATCTCAAGAGACCCACCTGGTTAAAGTGTAAAACTGTAAACAAGTCCAAAATAAAAGTGTGTGACAGCAAAAAGATAAAGAAAGAAAATCAATTATCTTTATCTGCAAGTCTGACCTCTTTCTCTCTTGCTCCTCCTTTTCAATCTTGTGTGATGCGACGAAAGGTGCAAATAAATTGCAACATTTATTCAATAGCTTTACAAACTCAAGCATGGCCTCGTCCTTCTCCATGTTGCCCAGAGATGCCCATTCTCTTCTGAAAAAATTATTTAAAATAACGCATATTCATTAAAAATGCTAATGTGACTAACAGCAGGGAGGCACATTAAGGTCAAAGTTCAAATCATCACTCTTACCTGCGGTCGTTTCCCAGCACATCGAAGAAGCCCACCTCAGGGGAAGCATCTGGGTTGTAAGGCCCCTGCAACACCTGCTTGTGGAGGGCTACCAGACGAAGTTTATCCTCATAGGTCGGGTGGAAGGCTTTCCCATCTTTCTCTGAAGAAGAAACAAATATGTGGCTTTAAAAGTGCAAATGGTTCTCATTACATTAAAACAGGGATTTCCAAACTTTTTTGACAGCTGAATGCCTTAGATAAAAAAATATTTACTTGAAGTACTCATTTGCATGTTCACTGTTCTCTGATGTCGGTCACATGATTTGCTAAAAAAATATATATATTTTACGTTTACCTGCAAGTGTTTAATTTCTATTGCTTTTACTCTAAATGATTTAATTCAGTTTTAAATTTTTTTTAGCTTTACATAAACTTATAAACCTCCTAAAGTTCTCCCACGAACCCCAGTTTAGAATGTCAGCTAATGCACATTTCTAAGTCAATACAGATCATGTCAAAATCATGAAAAGATTGTGTAAAAGACTTTTTCGTGCATGCTTTGAAAGTCAAGAGCAAGATACATTCGTGGCATTAGTCCTCAGCTGGAAACTGCAACATCTTGATTGGGACATCAGTTGTGCATTAATGTGCATAGGTAGAGAGCTGCAGCACTTAAGACTATACAGCTGATGGACACAACCATACTTCATCAGCCCACAGAAAAGAAATGGGTGAAGAGAGAAAAGGATTAAACGTTTTAATGGACAAAACCTAAAAGTGCTGAACTAACTCACCTCACTGACAAAGAGACCACCCAAGTTCAGCACTTGTAGTTCACTTGTCTATTTTGAATATTTATGCAATCTGTCAGTCTTTATGAGTTTAAGCCATCAGTCAGGCACATGACACAGTGGTGCTGTCACCGGTTAGGGCAGTTCCTCTAGAGGACCTCAACCCTTGAACACTGCCATAGAAGTGAACTACAAGACCTGTATAAGCAGAACTTTTTTTTAAAACCAAATACAAAGAATGAAAAGGACCATAATAAGAAAACCACGACCTCACTAGATCTAAACAAATGTGCAGCAAATTCAATCTGTAGCACAGAGATGCCCGTGCTAACGAATGTTAGTTCAATCAATTTCCATATTAGTGTATATAGTGACATAAAATACCTTTAAAGAACCTGAGCGCCAGCCCGTAGAGCTCGACTAAATCAAAGCCCCATTTCTTCTCGATGGCAGGTTCGCCCTCCTCTCCATCGACACTCACAGGGTTGTCAGCGTTCTGGTCCGCCGAGCGGGAGGCGGGCGTCTCGGCCTGTTCTTGCTCGCCCTCGGAATCCGGGCTTAGAGTCAAACCGTCGATTGAAACTTCGAGCCGGCTTGAATTTGCACTGTTGAGGTCGCCGCTCTGAACCTCTGTCGCCATCGTGCAGAATGTCAGCTGAAGCAGCCACGTACCTACTTCCGCCCGGCTCCGCCGGAACTTCCGGCAGCATGACGTAGAAATGTTCGACTACAAGAGCTTCAAAACCTTAACAAATTATTCTGCATTTATTAATATTAAGAATTACATAAAATAAAAAGGTCTCAATCCAAAAAAAAAAAATGTTTCGCTTTATACGGGACTTTAACAATATTGTAGTGTTTTGCATAAAAGTAAAGGCAAAAGAGCTGTTCGAGAACGTAATATTATTATAATAATGTATTACACATATGTATATGTGTACCTACCACATATGTATATGTATTTAATCAGTTAAAGTGTATGGAATTGTATACTATGAATAAACACTTTGTTTTGTCAATATGCATGTGTAATGGAAAAATAACCACATATCATTATAATATAAGTAAAGGAAATAAATAAATAAATAAATAAATAAACATAATAAATAAACATAAAACAAACAAATAGTATATATATATATATATATATATATATATATATATATATATATATATATATATATATATATATATATATATATACTTTGGTTAATAATGTTGAACCGTTTAAGATGTAGCCTACACTTCTAATTTAATACTTGACAACTGTCTGAGGCACTAAAGAGACGACAAAATACACTTAAAATTAAATAAATATAAATAATAATACTAATAAATTATTTAGAAGAACATCATGTAACACAGGCTACTACTAGTAACTGTCCAATGACAATGGAGGCCTGAGGTACATATATTTATGAAGGGGTGTGTGGTATTTTGGTGGGATGATTGGATCTGAGGTATTATGGTTATTTTTATAAGAATAGGCTGCAAAAAGTACATGAATGAACAATGTTTTTGTTTGTTTAGAAGGCCTATTTTTATTTATTTATTATGTTTTTTATTTTTTGTTTTCTTGTGGGAGGGGGATAGGAGGTGCGCAAAATTTTGTCTGGGGAATTTGGCTATTAACATTTAAGGCTAATTACATTCTGCTGAAATGAACGAAATGATTTGAAAAAAGATTCGTTCATTTTGATGAACGAGATTAAAAGATCCGATTCAGTAAGATGATCCGAACTTCCCATTACTACTGCTGAAAACCCATGCTGAAAACATGAAATGCGCAGTTTAATGGGTATGACGAATGTCTAACGTTAAACTAACTTCACCGCCGTGAAGTAGCGAATGCTAAAGCCCAGTTAAAGTAGCTTATTTGTACAACTGTATCTGTCTGGACTCTGCATCAAGAACAAGAAGGATTCATAATATATTTACGCTAACTGTTTGAGTTGATGGGTCGACGCTTTATTCATCAGCAGTTTTAAGTGGATTAACCTACATGTAAGGAATGCAGCACAAGAATCATTATCTTTACTACAAGCGTAAACATTTTTTGTGTGTGTGTGTGTGTGTGTGTGTGCAATTTATTAATAATAACTTGTTATATTTCCCCACACTCTATAAATCTCTTCGTGCATTGTTTTGAACTTAGTTTTGCAAGCCAGCCCCTGCCTACGAACTAAAATGGGCTGTAAAATCCCATACTGAGAACAAAGATGTTGATTAATGATCATTTTAATATAGGCAACAGCTATCTATCTGTCACGATAGAATTAAAAAAAATTTTTAGCAGCTTCCTTGAAATTTTGGTTATGTCTATAGTTTTTGAGCGGCAATTATAAAATAACTATTAGAGCTCTCTGTGCTCTTATGTTCTAGATCAATAGGGGGCAACAGAGGATGCTTTTACTCGGCACTCAAATGAAGTTAGACTAGAAAACACACCACAGTCTCTCGTTCTCTTTCATAGGTTCACTCAACGCTGCGTAGCTTAGGACGCAGTGGGAACGCCCTCTGGGTGTGCCGATTGTCTGAAGCCCTTATAGAATCACGCCAATTCATTGGCTGATGGCGCGGGCGCCGCCCCGACGCTCTTGCGTCGTCACATTATATTAGCGCGCGCGCGCCATCTGCTCCTCAGATTTCTCTGCCTTCACGAAGCGGCCATCTTAGCCCTTCGGTCTCGGTTTTTCTGGGCCAAATAATTCGGATTTATCATCAGCATTCTTCATCTGCATTTCAGCGACTGCGAATAGTGGAACTCAGTTCTCCTTGCGGTGAAGTGCCATGGAGTTTCGTCGTTGCCCGCCGCCATGCGTTCGCTTTATTGCGAACGACGACCCTCACAGTAAGTGTGTTAAATGTATGGGTTTTTCACATGCGCGCGAGGCTGTTTTAGGCTTGTCTAAATGCAAGTTTTGTGACAATCTGCTTCTCAAAACCCTCCGCTCTCGGCTCGCGGTTTTTGAGAAGGAGTCATTGGTTCCCCCCCGTCGCGCTCCCGAGGCTGCCGAGGCCTCGTTGGAATCCGCGACCTGGGGTTCGGATGTAAAGCTCGAGGATGTAGAGTACGAGCAGATGGGCCAGGCCCTTTCTCTCCCTCCCTCTCCCGAGCACGCACGCGGTGTTCGGCCAGTCGAGTTTTCGCATGATTATTTATGCCCCAGCCCGAGAGCGCGCGAGACAGTTTCTTTCGGGCTGGAAGATATTATTTACACTACAGCGTCCGACTCTGAGGATTTCGGGCCTGTTTTAGCTACTGACGGTCTCCCGCCTAGCGGCCAGGAGGCGCGGCCTACTGCGGCCTACACGGAGCTTATCGACGTGCTTTCGCGCGCTACGGAGAAGCTCTCTATCGACTGGCCCGACGAGCCCCGCGAGTCACAATCGTCTAAACTTGACGAGAGATTTTTAAGTGGCCCTAATTCTAGGCCTGAGCGGGGAAAGCTGCCCTTCTTCAGTGATCTGCATCACGAGATCTCCAGATCCTGGAAGCAGCCTTTTTCCGCGCGTCTAACAAACGCGGCAGCCGCTGACTTCACCAACCTCGTTGGTTCTGTGGAGCAGGGCTATTCCGCCGTTCCAGCGGTTGAGGACACGTTGGCTACTCACCTTTCTCCGTCGTCTGCTCCGTCGTGGAAATCTCGCCCCCTCCTTCCCTCTAAACCGTGCAGGACTACTTCCGCCCTTATCGGAAAGTCCTACATGGCAGCTGGTCAGGCAGGCATGGCCCTACATACTATGGCCATCCTCCAAGCCTACCAGGCGGATGTCTTGAAGGAGATGGACGAGGGAACAGGAATTACGCCAGAAGCTGTCAAAGAGCTTCGTAAGGCCACGGATCTGGCCTTAAGAGCCACCAAACACACCGCACGCGCTATAGGTCGTTCTATGGCAGGGGCGATTGCTGCAGAGCGCCACCTATGGCTTAATCTCACGGAGATCCGTGACAAAGAGAAGGTTTTCCTCTTGGACGCCCCAGTTTCTCAATCTGGACTGTTTGGGGAGGCGGTCAACACTGTGGTTGACAAGTTTCGGGCCGCAAAATCCCAGTCAGCTGCCCTCAGGCAGTTTATGCCCAGGAGGGCTAGGGAATCCTCTAACCCCTCCCCGGCTCAACCCAGAGAACGTTCGTCTCATAGGCCGGATTTTGCTGCTAGGAGAAGTGACTCGGTTCATCCCCCACCTGCTACGGTTTGGGGAGCCCGCGGTCGCCCGTTCACCCGCCAGCGACCTCATAAGCGTCTGGAGCTGAAGCGGTCTAACAAACCCTTCGCTCCAGCCTCCTCGAATCGTTCCTGACCCGCAGGTCAGAAAGAGGAGAGCTTCCCCCGATTTACGAGGTTGGGACAGACCGCGAAAGCGTTTCTGCCCACCTCTAACTCACTCTCCTTCTCTAAACCTGTCACTTTCGCCACCCGGCGTGTTTCGAAGTGCAGTTACTACTCGACCTCGTTCAAACCGTCCGGCGCAGGAGGACGGAGACGCGTTCAGCTTTCTCCCCTTGCCTCCGACGCGTTTGATACCTGCTGCTCGCATCCTCTGAGACACTTTTGGTTTTCCTCAGGAGCAGGCAGACCCTATGATCTTGATCAAACAGGCAGTGGTACCTCCCGCTACGTGTCAGGGCGTCAAGTGCCCTCCTTCACGTTGGACCACGCCACCCCACAGGAGTCAGCGCGTCACCCTAACTCAGGTATGTCCGCCACATTGCAACACTCCTCTTCCTCTCTCTCATTTCTTTCAAGAATGGAGGCGTCTGCCAGGGGTATGGCCTTGGATCCTCCGCACGGTTCGGCTCGGCTACACACTTCAGTTCTGTCGCCCGCCCCCTTGCTTCAATGGAGTCTTTCCAACTGTAGTCAACAGCGCCTCAGAGGCTTCTGTACTACAGCAGGAGATTTCGTCCCTTCTCCTCAAGGGAGCAATAGAAGAGGTTCCTCCGAAGGAAGTCGAGCAAGGCTTCTTCAGCCGTTACTTCTTGGTCCCGAAAAAGGGCGGAGGTCTGCGACCAATACAAAGGGAAATTCAAGATGTTGACGCTGAAAGCTATCATATCTCAAATTCGAGCAGGGGACTGGTTCGTGACAGTAGATTTGAAGGATGCATATTTTCATATTCAGGTCGTACGGCGACACAGGAGGTTCCTCAGGTTTGCCTTTGGAGAGAGGGCGTACCAGTACAGGGTCCTTCCCTTTGGTCTCGCTCTAGCGCCGAGAACGTTCACAAAGTGTATGGATGCTGCTCTGGCCCCGTTGCGGCTCCAGGGCATCCGTATACTCAACTACCTGGACGATTGGCTCCTTTTAGCCCAATCCAGGGAATTAGTGACTCACCACAGGGACATTGTCCTTCGTCACATTCAGTCTCTCGGCTTGAGGTTGAACACGGAGAAGAGTGTTCTTACCCCAACTCAAAGCACAGTTTTCTTAGGGGTGCGCCTGGATTCCGTTCTGATGCAGGCCCGTTTGGCTCCTGCCCGGATTTCCAGTCTTTTGACATGTTTGGCTCGCTTCACGCTCGGCCATCGTGTTTCTGTGGGCACTTGCCGCAGGCTTCTGGGTCTCATGGCCGCAGCATCCCCTGTGCTTCCCCTAGGGTTGCTCCACATGAGACCGTTTCTGTGGTGGATGAAACTCTCAGGTGCCCGGTCCACAGGACCGGCTCTTTGCCTGTTGAAGGTGTCGCGCAGTTGCTTCCGCGCCCTTTCAATTTGGCGGGACCCTCTCTTCCTTCGGAAAGGGGTCGACATGGGTGCAGTTTTCCGTCGCCAAATGGTTACGACGGACGCCTCTCTGACCGGCTGGGGTGCGGTTTTCGAGGGCAGGCCAGCATGTGGGGTCTGGACTGGAGAGACTCTCTCTTGGCACATAAACAGCTTGGAGCTGAGAGCTGTTTCCCTGGCCCTTCTTCATTTTCTCCCCTTTCTCGTAGGACACCATGTCATTGTCAGAACAGACAATATGGCGGTAGTGTCTCATGTAAACCGACAGGGGGGTTCACGGTCGCGCACCCTGGACAGGCATGCGCGCCACCTTCTCCTGTGGTCTCAGGGCAAGTTCCTTTCACTGAGGGCAGTCCATGTTCCTGGGATCCTGAACCTCGCAGCAGATTTTCTGTCGAGGCAGAAGCTCAGGTCGGGGGAATGGATGTTGAACCGCCGAACAGTTGCCCTGATTTGGGAAGTGTTCGGAAAAGCAGAGGTGGACCTCTTTGCATCACAGGAGTCGTCCCAATGCCCACTTTGGTTCTCCCTGAGCCCCCCAGCACCATTGGGGATAGATGCATTCGCCCACCCGTGGCCAATGCAGAAACTTTATGCATTCCCGCCTGTCAAGTTGATCCAGGCAGTTCTGTCCAGAGTGAGGGAGAGCGGAGCCCGTCTCCTACTTATAGCCCCATTCTGGCCCTCCCAGCCGTGGTTCTCGGAGCTGGTTCCTCTTCTGGAACTTCCCCCTTGGGAGATTCCGGTCAGGGAGGATCTGCTGTCCCAGCTTCAGGGCAGGATATGGCATCCTCGCCCCGAAATTTGGAAGTTATGCGTATGGCCCATCAGAGGCCGCTAGCTTTGAGCTTTGGTCTTCCCGCTGACGTCCAGGAGACCATTGCGAGTGCAAGAGCCCCTTCCACGAGAAGGTTATATTCCTCCAAGTGGAGGGTTTTTGAGTCGTGGTGTTCGACACACGCTACGGACCCAGTCAGCTGCCCAGTCGGTTCAGTGCTGGAATTCCTACAGGAGAAGTTTGCTTCTGGAGCGGCCGCTACTACTCTGAGAGTATATGTTGCTGCTATTGCCGCTCATAGGGAGTCGGATGAGATCCCCCTAGGTAAATTGAGGTTAGTCTCAGCATTTATGCGTGGGGTTAGGCGCCTGAAACCAGTACGCTCCCCTGGAATTCCCTCTTGGGACCTGTCGGTCGTCCTGGAGGGCTTAACGGAAGCTCCCTTTGAGCCCTTAGAGTCAGCTCCAGAGCGGATTCTGACTCTCAAGGTTACTCTTTTGTTAGCCTTGGCTTCTTTGAAGCGGGTGGGGGATTTACAAGCTCTTTCTGTTAGCAAGACTTGTATAGACTTCGCTCCTGGTCTTGTCAGGGTGACTTTGAGACCGAAACCGGGATATGTGCCCAAAGTATTGTCAACAGCATTCCGGTCTCAGGTTATTAACCTTCACTCTTTCCATCCTCCTCCTTTTGTCTCTGAGGAGGACAAGAAGCTTAATTTGCTCTGCCCTGTCTGAGCATTGAAGTTATACGTGGATCGCTCTGGCGGTTGGAGAAAATCCAACCAGCTCTTGGTATGTTTTGGTGCTGGCTGCCGCGGGCTTGCCGCATCAAAGTAGAGAATTTCCCACTGGGTTACAGAGGCTATTTCACTGGCATATGAGGTGCGCGGTCTGCCTTCACCTCTTAGCATCAGGGCACATTCCACCAGAGGCGTGGCTTCCTCTCAAGCACTTTTTAGAGGTGCCCTCCTGGAAGACATTTGTGTAGCGGCAGGCTGGTCCTCTCCGCACACTTTTGTCAGATTCTATAGTTTGGATCTTGACATGACTCCAGGTTCCCAAGTTTTATCTGCTTGAACCAGTCGTGTGAGTTATCTGGTCTTTGTACTAGTTACGGCAGCGCTTAGCTTGGCGAGTTTGGTATTTCGTTCCCACTGCGTCCTAAGCTACGCAGCGTTGAGTGAACCTATGAAAGAGAACGTCTCTGGTTACTGGTGTAACCTATGTTCTCTGAATAGGGAACGAGACGCTGCGTTCTCTGAATAGGGAACGAGACGCTGCGTTCGCTGCCAAGCTCCTTGCGCTGCCGACAAGCTCCTTTTTCGGCAGAGAAATCTGAGGAGCAGATGGCGCGCGCGTTAATATAATGTGACGACGCAAGAGCGTCGGGGCGGCGCCCGCGCCATCAGCCAATGTATGGGCGTGATTCTATAAGGGCTTCAGACAATCGGCACACCCAGAGGGCGTTCCCACTGCGTCCTAAGCTACGCAGCGTCTCGTTCCCTATTCAGAGAACATAGGTTACACCAGTAACCAGAGACGTTTTAACAAGGACAGTGTTACACAGAAAACATTTTGATGATCACAGGCTCCTAACTAAGTTTTTGGGATAGTTCACCTAAAAAATGTAATTAAATAATTCAGTCATCATTTACTTACCCTCATGCTGCTCCAAAGCTTATTTTTCTGTGAAGGACAGTAAGAGCTGTGTGAGTTGTGTCTATAAATCACACAGACACAAATTAGGACTAAATGGTGGAAAGGTGTTATTCATTCTAGAAAGATTGTAGAAGTGAGCTTTGGGACACGACAAAACAAATAGAAGTAGTTCTGTGTTCTTTCCGTAATGGAGAAGTTCATTCTGAAGCAAAGTAGTTAACCTGTAAGCTTGATTTCTGGGGGAAAAGAATGTTAACCTGTAACACTAAGCTTGGGTAAAAGAGGCAAAAACGTGAAGATATGCAAAGATAACATCAACCTACAATTTTGAGCTTGAGGAAAAGAGAAAATCAACACCTGTAACTTTAAAATTGGAGAAAAGAGAGGAAAACTATGTGGAAATATGACATTAACCTGTCACCGGCGGGGGACACATTTTTGTAGAGGACAGTAATGCAAATGGGTATGCGAAGGTGTATCCACTAAAAAAACAAGGCACCATCTCAAAAGTCATGGCATAATGTGCAAGTCTTTTGTGTTCTTGACTTCTAGTATAACAATAACACCCAAACCTATATGAGTTTCAAAAAATGATAAATGTTACAGATCAGAAATAATATTCATGCATTATTGCAGCAGAGACCAACTATAAAAAGAAAAAGAAAAGAAAGAAAGTGGTTGACTCATTTGATCTATTTGTTACAGAGATGGGCTTGGTGAATTATAAAATAAGCACTTGTTCTCATTTCAGAATGTCACCCTTCATTATATTTGTATTGTAATACTTTGCCTAATTTATTTAGATAAAACAGTGTTTATATCTCAGGTACATTGGGCATCGGTAAAGAATGTGTACAACAGGTAGGCTAAATAGTACAGTACAAATAGAAAAATAAAAATATTCTGCATTAGTACTAGATATAGTGCACTTCAATTGAAAAAATAATTCATATACAGGACTTTACACTTTGCAATTTTTACACATTGCAAAGAAGGAATGACCACATTGATCTCATCTGGAAATGGTTTGTATGTGGTTGTCACTTTTCCCTCTTTTGCTTGTAATTGGTAGAATTTCTCAAAATCAAAAATATCAAAAGGAAAAATACATACAATGCTGTCATCATTTACTCACCATCATGTTGTTCCAGTCAAAACATGAACACAAAAGACAAAGTCATACAGGTTTGGAACAACATGACGATCATTTTTGACTGATGCTAATCAGTCTGTCAGTTACAATGCTGGGAATGTCGCCCTTAATCAGCACCCAATCACATGGTAAACGAAGTGCCATTGTCATTGGTCGAGCCGTCCATAGAGCGCCGTGTGGAAAGGTACATTTCAGTGGTGACGCGTGAGGACCGTCTCGCTGACATGTAGTTCTTCCCCAAGCACCAGATGTCCCGTAGGATCTTACGGAAGTGGTTTCTGAAATTCACTCCAATGAAGGCGTACAGCAGGGGGTTGAGACAAGAGTGCAGGTACGCCAGGCTTCTCGTGATGGACATGGTCAATGAGACGGCCTCCTCATGGCTGCATTCCTGCTGTTGAAATATGTTGATGGTGTAATACAACAGTGCTATATTGTAAGGCATATGGCAGACCACAAACACAAAGACCACGGTGAGGACCACACGCACTGCCTTGTGTCTCTGAAAGTTCTTGGCCCGAAGGAGAGTGGCGATGACGCTGGAGTAACAGAATCCCATGATCAGCAGCGGCAAGAAGAAACCCATCGCCACCTGAGAGCTGGGCACCACGGTTTTCATCGCACGTGCCGTCTCGTTCGACTGAAACAAGAAGAAGCACACATACTGCATGTCGTCGCTGTCTGTACTGTTTGCAATGCTGGTTTCACTTGGGCCAGGTTGGTAACGCTCATAAAACACAAAGGTTGGAAGGGAGAGGAGCAAGGCCAGAATCCAGACGGCTGCACAGACCAGGTGGCTGTAAAGCAGAGTGCTTGAACGCAGCCGGTAAGAGCGGCGGGCTTGCACGATGGCAAGGTAGCGGTCTCCACTGATGCAAGCCAGGAGAAGTATGCCGCTGTACAGGTTCACACTGTAGATGCCACGCAGCAGCTTGCAGGACAAGTTCCCCATAGTCCACCCGTACTGCTCGCTGTAGATAATCAAAGGCAGGGCCACCACAAACAGGATGTCAGCGATGGCCACGTTCAGCAGGTACACGTCAGTCATGGACTTGGTCCGCTTGTAGAGGGCATACGTCACGATCACGAGGGTGTTGCCGATGAAACCAGCAAAACAAATGATGGGGTGAATAAACAACTGGAGGAAGTTCTCAATGTTGACACTGCGCTCGGTCGAACATGGCTCCTCTATACCATTATACATGCCTGGATCATCAGTGTAGTTGGAGTCTTCATAGTTTAAATAATCATTCATTTTCCTCTTTTGAAACTGTTAGGAAAGAAAAGAATAAGAACGTCAGTCGAAAGTGAGCTCACGTGTCAAGATGAAACTGCTTCACTGAAATCTAAAGTGGAACTAACGAAGTTTAAAAATTGGAATATTCAACCAGATTTTTGAATATAATTGAATAAGATGCTTGTTTAATAGCTTAATAACAGTATTGGACGTCTAAACTGATAGCAGCGCTCAGGCGCAGTTCGGGTGAGTTTGAGTCCCCGCACGGGTATATTTAGCGATCCTGTCCCCCTCGCTCTCTCTCCCACTTCACTTACTGTCAGTTCTCTATTATCTCAATAAAGTAAAAAAAAAAGGAAAAAAAAAGGCAAAAAATAATAATAATATTAGACTAGAATATGAGTGATATGATATTAAAATATCAACAAATTAACTAATAGTTTTTTTTTCTTCTAAGAATGCAGAGGCAGAAGTTTGTCATCGTTTTGTCGCTGTCATATAAATTTTTAATATGCAAGTGTGAATTATATGACAGATTAGGTTAAATCCCTCTATACCAGGAAAAATCTCATGTGCAAACATGGCTTTGTAGTTTGACATTTTATCTTTGCAGAAAGAGGATATTTGCAGAAAATCAGGTCACACACAGCAAGAGATTCAATGCATACAACCTATTTAGTGGCCATTACTGGAGAGGATGTTCGTCTAGAAAAAGCGTAGCATTTCTCAAACAAATGACTACTTTCCATGCATTCATAAGATTTACAGCAAGCATCAAACACGGAAAGCCGGACATCTGATAAAGTCATGTCACGCAGGTTCCAGGAAACATAAAAAGCTAAAAGAAATTGAAAAAAACAACAACTCTGCGCATAGATCCAAACAATAATCATAAAAGCGTATTTTACACATAAATACGCTTTACACATTTTACACAAAAGTGACAACCACATACAAACCATTTCCAGATGAGATCAATGTGGTCATTCCTTCTTTGCAATGTGTAAAAAGAAGTTTTTATGTGTAAAATACGCTTTTATGATTATTGTTTGGATCTATGCGCAGAGTTGTTGTTTTTTTCAATTTCTTTCATAAAAGCGTATTTTTATGTTTGCATGTGGTTGTTTGCTTTACTGGTTGTTTAACAGGGGCAATGTTGATTCAAGAACACATACAGAGAAAGTGCTTTGTGCACATGGAAAAAAACTTATAGAGGAACTAAGGCATAAAAATATCTTTTGTCTTTACAGAAAAAAAGTCTTTACAGGGTTGCTGTTTTTTTTTTTAGAATGTTGTTCATGACGTAAGTAGTTACTGGCATACAGAATTATGCAGATCCATTCATTGCTTGGAAAAAAGTATTTTCAGACAAAAGCACTTAAGTCTTCCCCTAACGGGCCAATAAAGTTAAGTGTCTCAATTGAATACACATCCTGCACACTAAAACCTTCCAATTTAAATATAAATTGATTGTAATGTGTTGCCCACAACTCAAGACTAACATAAATCTCCAGTCTGCATAATTAAATAGGTAGGTAATAAAACAAAAAAGGCACTGACTTGCATTTCCAAATAAAAATTAAGCATGTGACTGAAACAAACAAAAAAAGAAGCGACTTACCCGTATCTACACAAACAAGTCTATTGGAATGCAGGATGAGGTTTCTGACTTCTGTTCCTTTTGGTTTCTGATGAGGAAAGACAACTTGGGCAGGGCCACGCTACATAATAAACAAATTTCTGACCTGTAATCAAGCAGGAGGCGGCGCTTCACTGCTGCTGTACGGGAACATGTTGGTGTAGGTTTGAATGTCAGACCATCAAAGCTGCCTGACACATGTGTAGTACTAAAGATTATGGTTTCAAAAAGAGCTTCCGACAGACATTTGCTTTCAATGCTTTATGCACAGTTCAAAGTCTTATTTCAGTGCCAATTCTACGGCACTCTCACTGACTTTAAAACAGTTACACAACTTAATGATTTCATTTGTTGTTGTTGTTTTTTTTAAATGAGAACTCAATTTTATATCCTTTCATTTCTGTCCTTCCATTGTTTTTTTGTAATGGCAATAAAAAACAGGAAGAGGCAACAGTCATATGGTAATTACTTATTTATTATGTCAACTAAATACATAAAAACATAAAGTACAAAATAAGGAACTGACAGTTAGATGTCAAGCAACATCTTCCATGTAGTCTGCACCCAAACTTATCTGCGAGACGCTCACATCCTGAGTGTTTTCATCAAGCTACAAGAAAAAAAAAAGTGAGAGAAACCAAATCAATAAGATGCTAAATCACAGTCAAGGTCTAACTGTTCAAAAGACATTTCCTCTTACTGCCTCATTGGGCCTCTTTAACCACCCATCTTTTCCATTTACAAAACATCCCACTCTCACTTCTTAACTTTTACACAATGCACGCTTATCAATAAGGCCACTGTTAACATTTGTCCCTCTTCACATAGAATTGTGAAGTGGGACCATAATAAACTGACATTCTTTACGAGCTTTATTATTTGAATAGTTTACCTCAAAAACAATCAAGATCCATAGTCATTTAAAATCCTCTTAAAACAAGGTTTAAGATGCAATGTCAACACAAATATTGAGGATGGAGACAACGATACCTTATCACTGATGTCAGGCCCCTCTATCGAGACCTCCTCTATTTCCTCATCGATGCTCACTTCACTCTTAGAGTTTTCAGAACGATGACTGAAGAGAAACGAGAGAGAGATCAGAACACTTCATTAGATTCAGATGGAGCAAAATAACATGGGACCAGTAAAACACCTAATGGGCAGTCTTTACCTGTTGAAGTCATCGTCATAGTCAAGATCTTCATCTGCAAAGTATGTTTTTCAAAAAGAAATGAGATGTGACAATTAGAAAGGGTTGTTTGATGTTTAAGTCATTGAAAAGATTAACTGAGGAGTTCCTACCTTTGACACCCTTATCTTTAGAACTAGATGTACCTAAGACAACAATCAAGGAGAGAAGATATTACGGTCAAAATAATTTCAGTCAGGGGAATCTTTATGCACTTCGTGAGTTGATTCAATTTCAATTCATAGAGTCATGATCTGACTCAGATGATTCATGAATTTTGGATGCGGTAAATTCTTTGTAAAGATTAAATGGCATACTAAAATACGTCAGCTCCGCCCACAAATAGAAATAGTGGGTTTAACAATATCAGGAAGCAGCTCTGCAGTTTTCATTTTGTGTAATGGAAATGATTCAGACTGACCTCATTTCTGGGCAATTATGTTCATTATACATATGTTCATGTTTTTCATCCTTTCCCTTCATGTTTTTTTAAGATGTAAAATAAAGCATATTCAAAACTTTTTTCCATCTCCGAAGCCACAGTTTTTATATGCACGGTGGATGTTGCTGCAGAGCACATTTAAATAATCGTTTTTAGCGCTCGATTTCTATCGATCCAGAATCATCTGAGAAGGAATCGTAATCGATTTCACAACTGGCTTGCTACCATTCTTGTCAGATGAATGATCTTTTTGGCTGCTCTCGGCAGAGATGGATCCTCCCGCGCTCTTTAGCTGCGCGTCTGTGGTGAAAGCTTTTCCTAAACTGCTGCCCGAGCCTTCTCTCCTGAAAAACAGACAGGATGAGACTGCATGCACTTTGTAAAGCGAGCTGACATCCATATGAGAAGTGGACGAATATGGCAGGAGACAGACAGGAATTATCCCAGCTCACCTGAGTTTAAAGTCAGGTCTGGGCCTGTTATCACAGTCAGAGAGCATGTCCTCTCCATCTCCCTCTTTATCACTGCCTATAGCAGACAGGCTGAGGCCAGACAGAGCAACATTGTATGTTCATCCACACATACACATGACACCCAGAAGAACAAGGTCAGGGATATTAAGAGAGAGAGAGAGATACATAGGAAACATGCAGAACAAATGCAGACAAGGAAAGAAACGAAAAGGATAAAAGGTAAAAGGTTTTTAAAAAACAATTATGACTGTAGTCACTCCAGTACGCCTGTAATTTTGGTACCAGATATTGGAGTTTCTTTTTGACAGTATCGGGTAATGGCGTTTGGGTATGAATTATATCACAAAATTGTGATAGCCGCAAACAACACTTGAATAAGTAATGAAAGTAAATATCAAAGGTGGCAATTTTATAATATTGGAAAGTCTTATCACAGTTAACATGACGTTACTTAATAAACAAGACATGGTTTAATTAGTCAAGCTCTAAAACATATTTGTGAGTCTTGAAAATTTAAAGGAGGCGGTTCAGTTATTGAATGCAATTGTTACTCTGTGTAAGCTTATTTAGCTCTCTAAAACAGAACTGACCACTGTATTCTGCTGCTTTATAAACAAACAACCCCAGTGGGGGTAAACAGCCTGATTTTGCACCCATGGGTTAAGATGGATGCAGTGGGTTTGAATGGCAGTGTGATCACTCCATGCACACTCACTCATTGAGGCTAGTGCCCCTCCTCATTTGGGATAAGGATCGCCCTGACAGGCTTCCTTCCCTCTGCCAGGGCTGACTTCTCAGGAGGGGGAAACACAGACAGAGCACAGACACGGTTACAGAAAGAGGGCGAGAGAAAGAGCGACAGGAACAAAAAGCAAAAGAGGGACAAGGTGCAACATACAACAAAGCTCCAAGATCTACCCATAAGTGTGGCATAGTCAAAATCATAGTAAAAATGCAAATACACTCAGAAAAACAGGAAGTACTTACTCTTTTTGACTATAGCTTTTTTCAGAATGTCTCTGTCCTGAATAAGGCTTATCTGCCGAAGATAAACCACTGTTTTCCCGTGTAGGATTAAGAGGCAAGAGTGAAAAGGAGAAGATACAGGTCAGAAAAACAAAAACACTTCTCTGTATCTCATCTACGAGCAGTTATTTGAGGTCTTTGTTTATAATTGTAACTTATGGGTGGGGGCCCCATCATATTTAAACAGTAAAAAATTAACTACAGTTATGTGCTTCAAAAACAAAAAGAACCCAGATGAATGTTTCTGAAATTACAATCAAAGGTGTCAGT